AGTACACTTTTAACACTGCTGTTGCTAACAATGGTCTCTGTGAGCCATACTTACTGCAGAAAAATAGCTCGCTTTCACTGCGTTTGTCTGAGTCACAGGGGATGTTTAATTTGGGTCAAATTTGTCAAAATTCCGAAACAAAAATTTGGAAGCCAATTTACTGTCATCAACCCGTGCTCTGTTCTCTGATAAAGCACGCTGTTTCAGCCAATCAGAGCACGCGTTATATGGAAACTTTATTATAACTATAAATAAACTGTCCTTTAACTATAAACTGTCGTTTCTATAGACAGTCAAGGCTTGCTTTCAGTAGTACATAAGCAGTGCATGCAGACGCAGTAAGATGTTGATAATTAGCACCTTTTGTTAGGAAAACAAAGGCACTAATAAAAGCACCTTACCGTGCTTATGTATGTTGCTTAGTGCGTATGCAAACCAGCATTTATGCGAATCTAGAAAGAGTAAATTGCAGATAGAGGCTTCTGCTTCCCGAAAACAAAGCTGTGTACAAGTTTCACCGTGATCTTCTCTAACTATTAAAATACGTCATAACTTAACCACACTAACGGGGAATATTGTTGTTCACAAATACATCTACAGTTTCAGTCAACATCCTCAACAGATTTCCGTTTCAACATGAGAGACACGAAGATTCGATAAGTTAGCGTATATTAAACGTCTTTGCAAGCAGCTGTGACAACATATAAGTTTAAAAGCTTACATTTATTAATCAAGAAACATAAGCCGGCTACAGCTTGCTCAGTAAAATAAAGATATGAAATAAACCAACCTTTTTTATTCGTCATTGAAGGAGTCAATCTAATTTGTTCATCACTAGGTATAGCGCCTAAAGAGAAAATCATAAAAAAGGTAATTCACCCAAAAATCCATTAAAAAATTCCACGACACGTGTACTGTTGAAGCCTAAGAATTCACTTGACAAAACAATGGATACTTACTTCCACCGTGATTCCAAAACGGAATTGCTCCATCTTTATTCACTAGATGTGGCCCTTTAAAACTATGTTTATATTGGAATTTAACATGACGCTCACTGGGTACTGAAGCTAAAGATATACTAGATAAAAACAATAAGGATATTACGCCATACAAAGCTTCTACGGAAGCCATTTTGAAAATTGACTTAGAAATTTGGCGCGTGAGGCATTCTGGGTATTTATTGATTTATATGGATATTTGTCAAATTCTGATTGGTTTTCCCTGTCGTTGCAAAAGGCGGGACTTTTCAAAACGACGATGGTAAGCGTGATAATTACTAGCGCTAGCGGGATACGATACGATGCGATACGATACTTTATTTAACGCGGAGTTACGCTTAGCTAATCAGCTAGTTTACAAGTAATCCTCGGCTCTAGTATATTCTAAAAAGATATATAATTTCAAAACATACAAAACATTTGTATGGGTTATTGAGCAAGTGTGAGGTCAAGATGGCTGGATATTGGGCAAGTTCTTTTTTTGCGTGTGTCGAGGTCCATAAATTCGCAAAGAAAGGACGAGGCCAATATCCAACCATCTTGGCCGAACAAGCTTGGTCAATAAAGGATTTATTATATGGCTTTCAGGGACATTTTCTTGCGGGACACGGCGGGTAGTCCCGAACGGGCAAGATAGCTCCATCTTGCCCGCTCGGGTAGCCAATCACAGCGCATGATTTGATTCATCTTGCCCGCTCACGGCGCTGGCCATATAATAACTAAGAATATGACTTCAGGTTAGGTTCACTGATAAATCCAGAATAGTGCTCAGCAATAATGGAGCGGTAATAACAATGTTTTTCTTCTCAATGTCGTTTCAAATGGACTTTAATACAGGTCTGTTTCTTAAATTCAATTGCATCCTCAAGGACCAATCATAAGGTTACGAATGTATATTACTATTGTTCTTTAAGTTTGAATTTTGTAACGATCATGCTGCTGATGTATATAAACCCTAGCGATGCTACAGTGTATATGGAATTTAACTGATGAGTGGACCAACTCTTTGTTGGTCTACGAAACAGAACTGTATTTATGTCCATATGAAACGACATTGAGTAGAAAAACATTGTAATTTCTAAGAATATATATAATTTCTTTCCGGGATATACCTTCTCTGCTCTACTCTAACCGACCTTAACCGTTATGCTGGAAGGCAGAAATCCTACTCATCAGGGAAGACTTAAAGGATCTACGACACGGTTTGGGTATCTTGAAACGTTTAGCCTAAATTTTTCAATTCTTCGTCTGTAATCCGTGTTGATTTATTCTCCCCTATACCATCCTCGGTCCTTTATGGTTTATTATTATTTCTTTGGTGTTTTTCTATCTTAGTAAACTACTATTTTCAGGTTTCTGTCAATTCAACTGACCGCGAGAGCTCACTTTCATGTGTTCAACCATTATTGTTATGGAACATACAATAACATCGACAAATAGTGAAAAACACACATCATTTGGCGTCATGTAGGGGGGAACACAACCCTGCGGTTTGCATGGGAAGTGACTTTGATTTCCGTGAGCTTTAAAAGACGCACTTGTCACCAGCACTGCCCCGCACTGGAAACGGACAAGTACTGAAGTATGGGCAGGTCAGATTTGAACCCGTGGCACTGAGAAAGTCAGTGCCGGGTCGGACAAGACTACTCTCTGTTTTCTAATTCCCCAAAATTCACTCTGTTTGCCCCCAATACTTTGCATAAACTATTGTTGTGAAATGCTCTTGGGAATATGCAGACCTCCCAAGAGCAATTTGAAAGTAATAATTTATGGAAATTTCCGGGGGCAAACAGAGTGAATTATGGGGAACTGGGAGATAGAGAATTGGCAGATGCACAAATGAAAGGAGCAAAATGAACCATACACAAAGACTTAACCGCCATAGATACACATGCAAAGCATGTATCCCTTTTTTACGTGGCCAGAGTAACTCAAATGTCGTTACTGAGATAGACTTCCTTTAAAATGAGAAAACAAATGATCGGTAAGGTGTTGAGGTATTATCGATGATAATGTTTGTAACACTGGTAAACACACCGCTAAATTGGAACTGACTATTTTACGTTATCGGTTATCTTTCTAAACGATACATTAAAACCATTTTACATATCAGAAGCATTGTTTGCATTGTTTTTTTTAGCACATTTTATGCTTTTTATAGAACTTTGTTTTAGTGTGTTAGCTTCTTTTTATATGTAAAGCGCTTTTGAATATTTCATAGTATTAGCGCTATATAAACGTGTAATAATAATAATTATTACTTGTTTACCTGGGTCAGCCACACGGAAAGATAAATTCAAAGCAATAACTTGCCTATAAAGGTACAGAAGGCTCGTTGCTTCAAAAGCAACGCATCAATCAGCCTCATCTGCAGGCGGTGCGGTAGAGACCTTCATTCCCAAGTTTCCACGTAGTGCAGTACTAATCGACTGGGTTGAGCCATGGTAGACTCAGATGGACGGAGCTGTAGCTACGTAGTACTACAGGGACCGCGGATGGGCAAGGTCTGGTAGGGCTACAGCCCTATACCAATTGCTTTTTAGGGTTTCTTTTAGGGCTCGAGATGGTATGGATGACTTGGATAATGCATGCATTTTACCACATGAAAGTAACAAAACGGCGGAGCGGTGATCCTTAGTGTTTGTTTGTCTTAGCCAGATTCTTTAGCCCTATCACTTTAAAATGGTCTTCCCNTAAAAGACGCACTTGTCACCAGCACTGCCCCGCACTGGAAACGGACAAGTACTGAAGTATGGGCAGGTCAAATTTGAACCCGTGACACTAAGAAGGTCAGTGCCGGGTCGGACAAGACTACTCTCTGTTTTCTAATTCCCCATAATTCACTCTGTTTGTCCCCAATACTTTGCATAGGTGCACAAATGAAAGGAGCAAAATGAACAATACACAAAGACTTAAGCGCCATAGATACACATGCAAAGCATGTATCCCTTTTTTACGTGGCCAGAATAACTCAAAATGTCGTGACTGAGATACAACTCCTTTAAAATGAGAAAACAAATGATCGGTAAGGTGTTGAAGTTGATATTATCGATGATAATGTTTGTAACACTGGTAAACACACCGCTAAATTGGAACTATTTTACGTTATCGGTTATCTTTCTAAACGATACATTAAAACCATTTTACATATCAGAAGCATTGTTTGCATTGTTTTTTTTTAGCACATTTAATACTTTTTATAGAACTTTGTTTTAGTGTGTTAGCTTCTTTTTATATGTAAAGCGCTTTTGAATATTTCATAGTATTAGCGCTATATAAACGTGTAATAATAATAATTATTACTTGTTTACCTGGGTCAGCCACACGGAAAGATAAATTCAAAGCAATAACTTGCCTATAAAGGTACAGAAGGCTCGTTGCTTCAAAAGCAACGCATCAATCAGCCTCATCTGCAGGCGGTGCGGTAGAGACCTTCATTCCCAAGTTTCCACGTAGTGCAGTACTAATCGACTGGGTTGAGCCATGGTAGACTCAGATGGACGGAGCTGTAGCTACGTAGTACTACAGGGACCGCGGATGGGCAAGGTCTGGTAGGGCTACAGCCCTATACCAATTGCTTTTTAGGGTTTCTTTTAGGGCTCGAGATGGTATGGATGACTTGGATAATGCATGCATTTTACCACATGAAAGTAACAAAACGGCGGAGCGGTGATCCTTAGTGTTT